GATTCTATGATTCTATGATATTTGCTGAGGGCTTGATAATTAAGCTCATGCTATACTGATGAAAGATGTTCCATAGTGAACTGCACTCTGCCGCTGGAAAATGCTTCCTGATACAAATCCTAAATTTTATTTTGCTTCCATCCCCTTACTGCCATATGTGCATTGCACAGGTTGTATGTGACTAAACAATCTCATTCTTGATTCTTGCTCTGCCTAGCTCTTTCTCACACATCAATAAGCATTTTCAGATTTGGGATTGTTATCTTCCTCTGCTTGATATGACAGGCCTGAACATACACTGTGCCATCTTTGCTACCACAATCTGTGAAAAGCTCATCACTCTTTTCCTTTGTGCATTCTCTCACTAGGTTTTTCAGTTTCATCTTCTGACCTAAATGCCTCCCAAAGATTCGTTCGTCACTGAACAGTGCTATTATCCCACAGGGACTTAAGCAGTGGTGGTCAACCTTGTGTGCACTCTGCACATACAAGCTTAATTGATTGCACTGGAAATTCTGGTTACAGAGAACCTCTTGAATTTGATCCTTGGCATACTTTTCAGAGTTTTAATATTTTTTCATGTTCTTCCCATACTTCTAATCTCTCTAGGCCTTTCTGAATTTCTAACAGGACACACTGCAGCAAATACTTCATTATGCTCCTAAGGGAGTATCAGAATCTGTCCTTTGGAAAAAAGTCTTTAGTAAAAACACCACATCCAAACAATTTTTGCCATTTTCCCTAGCATTTTAGGTTGAAACTCAAGCAAACCAGAAACCACAATATTATTCTCTTTCCACGAAAGCTCAATAAATCTTTTAGCGCAGTAAATACATTTCAACTGTAGCAGATAAAATCCACACAGCATAACATTAAGTATTTTTTCCATAAAGGGAAGATATTTTGCTGACCCTGGGAAAATTTATTTTTTATCTCAGTATTTGTGTGGCATAACACATGCTCCTCCCATGACACTCTTGAATTTCTCTTTTTTTTTTTTCAGGCAAATTTATTTTCTGTATCAATATGTGTGTGGTATAACACATTCCCTTCCAATGCCCTTCTTGGTCTTTTCTTTTTGTTATGTCTTTAGATGTTTAGTGGGTAGGGCGAGTGGAGGTAGAGATTCTTATGTCATTTGGTACATACACAAATTTCAGCTCTGAGCTGAAATTCTTTTAAATGTCACCTATATAATTCTGTTAATTTATAACTGTTTGATTATAATTTACAGTGTTTTTCAGAAGGATGAACTACATTGGAAAAGTAAAATATTCAAAACTTCAGTAACGGAAACAAAAATAAGCTGACTATAACAATCACTGGATTTTTCTTGAAGAACCAAAGAATATCTTATACCTCTGTGATATCTCTCCACACTGACACAGGTCTGGATTTTGTTTTATGAGCTTCTGCCGCCTTAATAAAATAGTTATGAGCTTTACAGATTCCCTACAGGAATAAATTAAGGAAAGAGGCTTCCTATATTTGTTATAATCAGTGAAAGGAAATGTTGAAGGTCATGCAGTATCTATCTCAACAGAGATCATTGCAGTCTGTTGTCTAGGAATAAATAGCATTATTTATAATACAGTGCATCTCATGGAAAAGACCTTGAAATGTTAATTAATTTAACTAAGATCTTCAACTCATACGTAGTTGGTATCATTATTCCACATAAGGGGAAACTAACAATGGTTTAGTATCAAGGGAAAATCTAGAGAGCTTGGATCCGAGTTCCGTAGTCAAATCACTGGACATAATATATCCCAGAACAGCAACAGCTCAAATATTATTTTTTCACAGAACAGAAAGTCAGCTTACCTTGCAATGAATTGAAAATGGAGAAGAGGTACAGGAAAGGAAGAGTTAAGGGACCCCAGGCAAAAAAGGCAAAGCCCCACGTCATGCCTAGGAGGAAGGTCAGGCTGACTACGCTGCGGAGGTTCCTCAGGATCTCTTCCTTTAGGCTCCGATTAGTTCTTTTCCCATTCCTCCCACAGATCTGCACCATCACCACAATAAACATGGCAACGTTCATCAGAAACATGATTCCAAAGTAGCCAGCACAAGTCACATAAAAGACAACTTCATTCTTGATCCAGCAGCTGCAAAAAAAACCCAAAAATATCATCATTTTTAGATAAAGCAAACTATTCTCCAATTATTTCTATGACTACAAGAAAAATCAGTGTATGGATGATTTCACTGAAGCAGAGGTATACTTTCAAATGACACCTTTGCCCATTTTCTGTTTGTAAATAGGATGAAGCTCAGTAGCATCTTAAAGGACTATGGCCCATAGTCATAAATCTGTGGGTTTTACCATATTTTAGTTAAAATTAATTAAAAAGAAAATCTGACCTCAGATACAAGGTGTGGGAACTGCAGTCCCATCATGGAAAGTTTAGACTTAGTATTAGTAGCTTCGCCACCTTCACCAGTGTGAAGCACAGGATGCCTTAGTAACAGAATGGGCAAACTTGTATCTTCAGTGTCAAAATCTCAAGTTTCTGCCACTTGAGCTAAATGATGACTCATCCATCTCTGTAGAAGAAGCAGGAAGGGCAGGCCGTTGAGGTAGCCATTTGAAAGTCAGCCATGTGAGATACTTAGCTTATTCCTCTAGCAGCATTCCTCTAGCAGCAAATGGCTGGAATGATTAGCATGATACTTTAATAAAAACACAGGATGACATTTTTATTTAGCATGTTGAAACTTTGCCAGGCAAGGAACAGAAAATGAGGTAACATTCATATAAAAATTTTGGCATTTGTAGATTATTATCTGGACATCAAGTCAAGAACATAGAAAGCTATTGATCTACGTTGACAAAAGTCTGGTTTATTTACAAAGTAGTCTATTTTTATGCTACTTCTTTCTTTGCTCTTTACCTAGAAGATAGAACTCACTTTTAAAATAAACCAAACCAGGTATTTTTATTTTATTTTCATGACAAAACTTAGTCATTATTCTTTTGACAGAGGAGTGTTTGTTCCTGGCATTAGGTAATGCTCTTCCATTTTTCTTACACTTCACACTTCTGATTCAAATAATTTAGAAGATGATTTTGCCCGCTTTCCTTCTTTAATGCACCTCGAACTCTTCCAAAGCAATCTGACCAATGATGAATTTTTTTTTGCCGACTGTAAATGCAAAATTGTAAGAGATTAAAAGAAATACTCACAAGTCGTCTCCTCCTTGCCCATTAGCATCTTTGCCGTATAACTCTTTGCCATAAACATGACTTGCATTTGTATTAGCACTTGCCAAAACAATTGCTATCACCAGAGCTGGCAAACCTGTAATATAAGAAAACTTTTAGTGTGCTTTTATATCTCACAGACCTCCAAAATTACCACGCAAAGCTTAATCATTGATGTCTCCATCCCTATTGCTTTAGTACAGAGTATCCTGAGGTAGTTCGATGTCAGAAAACTGAACAGAGAATTAGAAGGAAACAAATTTTCAAATGGTACAAATGTATAAGAATTTTAAAGCACTTATTGGGCATTAATGAACAAGCCTCTTAATGTTCTATAAAGTAGAAAATGTTATTTTAGTATGCAATATTGAAACTAAAGTAAAATAATCTCACTTAATTACCTAAAGTTAAATTTACAATTGCACACAGGCTCTCATAATATAGTAAAAAGAAGATTAACAAATTATTACAAAAATGAGATCTAATGGTGAGATGGTTTGGGGATTTCTTTGAGGGACTTTTTTTCACAGACACTAATGTCACTTGATTACGCTAGGGGACTGGAGTGCATGAACTTGAACCTGTAATTTCTCCAGTGTTCCTCTCAACTCTGAATGTCTTCTCTTTTTCTACAGTATTATATATGCTTTACTTAAATGTGTCCCTCAAAAAATGAAACAAACTATATATTTTTTAATAATAGATAAAGGGAATATTTTGGAAAAATACACAACTATGCGGAAGACAACTCTTGTGCAGAGAGGTACAGGTCACATAAAACCCCATACATTTCCTGACATGCCTTATTTACATGTCTTATCCTTGCTACGACAAAACAGATTCAAAGGGGAAGAGGTTAATTTGCTTTTCCGACCACTCAGTCCTTGTCCTCTGCCGAGGTTGCCAAAAAGGATGCGAGTTGCCAATGGAAAGACATCAATTATCAGCTGGGCTGAGGTCAGTGCTCTAGCCATGAGGTTAATGGTTTTGTATTGTGTTTTATTATTTCAAACACAATATGTGCATTCAGGCAGAAGGCACAGATTCCTGATATAAGGAAAAAAAAAAAAAGAATAAAAGCCTTGCTGCCTGAGCCTTGCAGTTATTTTTCACTATTACATTTTCTATTTCAGTCCTGCAATGTAGACTGCTTAGGGCAGGCAGGATCTCTCTGTGGTTTAAACACTCCGCTGAAGCTCAGGAAATTTTGGTTGTTTCTGATTGTGCCATAGGCTTTGTACTTGTTGGCAAGAAACTTTAAGCTGGATTGAAAGCTTTTTGACAGTCAATGCAAGGATCCCAATAGGCTCTGTAGTAATTGCAAGAGGTTCTGAATTCATTGTGTGCCATGTTTCTCTATCTCTGATATGACACTAACATTTCCCCTCTCCCATTCTGGCCTCTCTGGAAAGTCAGACCCATTTATCTGGTCCCTCCGCTCCTCCTTGGGCTGAAAGTGCTGCTCCGGGCAGAAAGTGCTAGTCATGGTGCATTTTCACAGAATTATAAGGAGGAGCTGGGTAGCAGAGAGGGCTGGCTGCAAGCCATCACTGCTGTGGGGCAGGGGAAGGAAGCACCACGCTGATGTTGATTGTGCTCTGCATTTGGGATAGAGAGCTTTTGTGTAGCATCATTTCAAAATACACTCTGTAAATGCTACGTGCGCTGAACTCACCCCAGCCAATGATGCAAAACTTCAGAATGTAGCGCCGTATATAGGTGTTGAACACTTTCACTAGAGCAATGTACATATGAACGGCTTCTAGTCCCATCCACGTAAAAGTGGCCAGAAGGAAAAAGTGCAACAGTGCAGCTACAGCTATGCAGAGGCCATCAATGTCAAATGATGCAATCCAACCATCAAGCAAGAAGATCAAGTTAAGAAAGAGCAGGGCTGTGCTCAAATTCATCAGGATTTTGGATGGATAATCTCTTCGCAACTTCCTAAAGAGAGAAGCACAGGTGCATATGATTAATTGGTTTCAATCACACAAGCTGCTTACAGCAGCTGGCTTTACTGGTTTACAAAGTAAGTAAAGGCACAGGGATCTCCTCCCAGCTGTAAGCTTTTGTGGCAATGCAGCATAGCGATGCGTACTTCTGTGGGGCATCACTGAAGGCTTCTGCTGCATGGGATGTGGAAAAACCACCACTTCCTTGGGTTCTTAATGAGCTACATGGAAATTATGAACTGAGGAGTGGGCCAACAACTTCTGCCATCTTGGACACTATCCCATAGGTAATGCGATAGGAATACAATCATTGGAGATATTCAGAACTTTAAAAATCCCCTTCCCCCACTCCCCTGGAAAACCATCTTTCTTTAGCAGCTACTCTGTCCTGTCCTGTTACAGGCAGAATGGTTCCTTTGTGTTGGCCTGACTCCGTTTTCTCTTTTCATTGTTCACAGAACTGTATCACTTCAAAACTTTTGCATTCCCTTGAGTCACTTTCACATTTCAGCAGAGCTGCTGTTGAAATTGTTGTAACACTTCACAATTTATCTTCATTTCATTTCTCTTCCCACTTCTTTCTGAAGGGCTTCAGAATGTAATTGTTCTAGTTGGAAATTTCTCTTTTTATACTTAGGAATTGTTATGATCACACATGCAAGTTTTGTTTTGTTTTTAAAAATCCTGGCTGTGGATTTTAAAATAATGCGTATCTGTTCAGAATCTAGAGTATACTGTATTCCCAAAAGAGAAAATTTTTGAGAGACATTAGCCTTGTTCTCAGGCCTGAGCAGCACAACACACTGGAAACAGGAGGAAAGAGTCTGAACTTACGTCCCTTTGAAAAAAATTTCTACTTACAAAATTGTGACCATGGATTTGCAGTTGCTTTTTTTAAACATAGTTTTCCCTTCCTAGGCAAATAAACCCCACAAACCAAGTAACTAATTTATTTTATTCATCACGTACAGGTACTTTCCCTGTCACGTTTTCCACAGAACTAATACTTACTCAAATGCAATATATGTCAGAAGAGTTGCAGCTGAAAATATAGCAGATATCCCACAGCCTATATAAGTGATAAACGTGAGGACCTTGGTATTCTGTGGGTCTATTTGTGTAACGGTTCTCTGAAGATCCTACGTGAGAGAGAAGGAAGAGGCATATAGCAAACACCTTTTCCATGAGCACAGCACTCATTTCTTGGTAACTAGTCAAGTAAAACTCAAAAAGCACTTTGGCAATACCATTATAACCCTGACATTAGGGTTCATGTTTACTGAGTATGCTTAGACTAGAGTTGTTATACCTCTCACTTCCTTCCCATAGCTCTTGAAAACATTGTATTTTAAGTATTATAACTGCTGGGATCAGCAGAGAGACAGACCCTGATACTGATCCTTATAATTCAGTACCAGCAATTCAAATGTTCTTCTCTGGAAAAATCTTTTCTTTTCAAACCTTTTAGTTTGATTGCTAATTTAGAATAACTGAATGATTATTGAAAATGCAATTTAAAAGTATTAATACTGAAACGTGGAACATTGTGAGGAGTTTCTGACATCACCTCTTGTACTAACAGTTTGTACGAGTTGATGCAGCTAATAATGTATGGGTGAAACCAAGGGCAAGATATTGCTTTTTGGTTTTATGGTCTGTTTTGACATGCAAACTACAGTTATAAATAGAACTGGTCAGAAAAATAGTGACAAAGACAACATTTAAAAAAAACCTGGAAAAGAAGCAGGAACATTCTGGGGATTTTTTTTCCAGTTTTCTGTCCAACTGTAATTGCCACATAGTAATGTCTGAGAATAAATGCCAGTGTTATTTCCTTTTTTTTAAGGACAAGTAAAAATGAGAATGTTTGGATCTATATCACTGTGGAGTAAGTGTAAGCAAATACTAACATATAATGGTGTCCATTCTACAGTTAGTGTCACTGCTGTCTCTAGCAAAACTATCCAGCAAAAAGAAATGAAGAAAATGCTACAAAACATGCCATTCTTCATAGCAAAAGGAAGGTGTTGTATGCAGTTTTACACCCTGTTCCAACCTTACACGACTGTTTATATATATAAGGAGAGTGTTATTTGAAAATAATTTAGTATCTAAATTGAAGTCAGAAAAGATTATTCAAATGGAAAAGCAATCAAAAGGGCCAAAACTGTGTAAAAATCTATTGGAATACAGCCCAATTTCAAAGAACTTTTGCCTTATTTCCTACTGCCACAAAAGCATTCAGGGAAGAGAAGGGACTCATTGAATATATCCTAAAGAAAGATCTTTTTTTCTCCTTTTGAGTATGAAAAGGGAAACAAGACCACAATTTAGCTTGAGAGAAGACAAAAAGCTTGTGGTTTTTTCATAGCTACATCTGAGCATGACATGAAGAGAGGAGCTCTATTAAGAAGGCTCTGGAAAGGCAAACGTGAAAAAAGTCAGTGCATGCATCTCCCTTGTGCGGTTAAGTCCTGTGTGTCGCTGCAACAAGTTAAATCAAACCCCAGAAACTTCTACTAAGGGTGTTGCTGTGATAAGGAGCAAACAACTTTTCTGCAAGTAAGTTTTAGAGGTCAAAGAATGTTAATTTCAGATGGAAAGAAATGTTTCAGCCCATTATTGCACGAAAAAAAAATCACCAGATATTAAGAAAAGATAGCAGTATTCCATCTTATTCATGTTGAGATTTTTTTTTCTCGAAACCACTTCACACTTTCAAATTGCAGGGGGCACCTGAGAGCTAGAGGAATTATGCTACCGAGGCTGAAGTGCTCTATATGGTTCCCTCTCTCATCTCTCTGATAGGCTATGCTTTATTTCAGCCACCCAATCTGGTGACTTTGGTTAAGGCTCTGATAGAGGATTCGGTTCCAGTACTTGGTGGGCAGATTGTTTCCCAGAGAAGGCCTGTACTTCAGGGCATCCCCAAAGGCGATTAAAGCCACTTATAAGAAAACAGCAAATATGAGTTTACACCTTTTGCAAAACAAAGGTATTGCTTTATACTTTTTGACATGAGATATAAATCTTGTCAGATCTGCAACCTAAATTTGCAAGCGGTAACTTAGCCCCTTGAATCTCAGGATGCAAGGGAATTATACTGCTCTCTGAACTTTTAATCCTCATTAGTAGTTTTATTGACTGTAGGACATTTTTCTTTCCGTGAAAATATAATTCTCTCTATTTTTGTTCTGAAAACAACATCTCAACTTTTTCTCCCACTTATTTTTTTTTTTTCCCTCTGCAAATGACTTCCCACTTTCCTGATCTTGAAATTTCAAATCTACATTGACTTGTTTCTTACTCACTTCCTTCTTGTCACACCCTCCTGTCTCAGCTGTAGGTCATTTTTGTCAGATTATATTGTTAAGGGAAATGACACAGACCCCCTGAACCTTAGGACTCATTAAGATAATTCTTTTTCCTGTTTTCCTAGTGGAAGTGTTAGTACTGGGCCTTGCTTTTACAATCCCTGACTTTCTTTTCACCAAGTCATGTCCTGGATTTGAAGCTGGATGTTATAAAATCCTATTTGTATTTTGGTATCACTCAGAAGGCTAAGACCTAAGTCTTCTGTGAAACAGTACTTTCAAATTTTAAAATATTCTATGGGCATATTTTGCTTTTTATTTTATAATATTTAGCCACTAGTGAAGAACATAATAATAATTATTAATAATAGTAATTGCAACAACAACAATAATACTATTATAATTATATTAATATACCTTCATTACTGACTTAATTACCACATTCCTGAATCCTTATCACTGGCTATTTTGTTATGAAAAAATAGCTTTAGGATCATAAGGGGAAAATGATGTATTATTATTAAAAATAATGTACTAAAGGAATAACCCAAGTAACAAAAATGAGACTTGTCTTGGCCCAAGACAAAAACTGCATTGCAGTTGCTAGGGAAGACAACTTGGTGAACGGTGAGCTTGCCTACCATTAGGACCCCGAAGTGCGTGAGGTGGTTGCATAAGCAAACTGTCTCATTTTCATTGGACTCTGGGTCCACTTGGCAGCCCGCAGGGTTCCAGCCACCACTGCCACCTGTGGAAATGAAACAGGAGAAACCACACCTTCCAACAATTTCATGTCACCATTTCTTTTAACAGATTTCTCACTTTGTCTTGTGCAAATGCAGAAGTGCTTTCTCAGATTGAATGAGTGACCATTAAAACCAATGAGGAAAGAAGCAAGTGTCAGATTTCCTAGTTTCTGCAGAGAATCACACCAGAGGAGTGTCCCAGTAATGGTCTATGCAGCAGAAGCAATAGATGGAGATCCATACTAAATGTAGGGAGCTTTTTGGTTAATGAGGGGTGAATAAGACCTATGTAGATCATGCATTAAGACACTCCTTAGCTCTTCCCAATAATAAGATGGTTTTAGAACTCCCTTTTACCACACTGATGTGATGTCTGCACCTGCTTCACTCCTACTCACATATCCCCAGGCACATGAAAGCATTTATGGCCCAGGAACAGAGGGTCTCACCCTTCCTCTCTGCACCCTATAATACAGAAGTCAGAGTGGATAATCCCAAATGTCCTTTGTGGCCTTACAAAAAAACATGAAGTAAATTATCCCCTACTTGTTCCACTTGCAAAGGCCATTCGGAAAAACAAGAAGAAAGATTTTATTTTTAAAAATTAAATGTTCAAAAATAAAATCTGTATTTCTGATTCTTCTCCTTTAATTTTTTTCCTGCTAAAGCATGAACTAATTTTGTGAAATAGTTCATATTTTCTGAACTCTTAAAGACATTTTTGCACAACTCCAGGCAAAATCCAACAAATTATGTGACTAGCCCTACAACTTTACCTCAAATTCAAGACAGAATCTCTCAAAAGACCATGAAGTTGTTCCAAAACCACGTAAAACTCTTCCCCACTCAAGCAGCCACTGAGAATAGTTTCCTCCCTGTGTGTTTCTCCTTTGATGTGCTTCTTAAGTTTAGCTTCCTAAGTAGATTCTTTTTCTTTTCTTTTTTTTTTTTTTCCCCTTTTTTTCCTTCTGCATTCTCTTCAGTCCTTTTGTCTGAATTTCCTGCCTTCAAGTACAACTTTGGATGGTAAATTTCATTTCTTTCAAGACTCTTTGTACTAAAGCTCTCCAGTCTAAATCCTACTGCTAAGGACGGTTACTTCTTCGCTTTATTTGTTTCATTGTAAGGAAGACTAACATCTCAGTAGTGATCTCTAAAATAGAACAATCTGGAAAATCATAAAAGAAAATTAATTTTTCTATGCAAAGGATGAAGAGCCTCAGTGTAAGATCACACAAAGGTTAGGCAGTAGCAATGAAGAATGGGCCAAAATGCTTCCTTGTTAATTTGTGTCCACATATAGGACCTTAGCATGCCAGCTGTCATCCATTTACAAGGTGGATGAAGTTCCTGTAATGTACTTCCCACCTTTCCACAGAAGTAAAACAGGCTTAAGATTTGTTACAGGCACAAACTCACAATTAAAACCCCCAGCATTTTAAAAATGACTAGTTAAAAGTATGGCTTAGAATCATTCATGTGTCTGACTAGCATTACTATTTCCATTATCTTAATTTACAAATCTTTAATATTTAACAAATTTACATTAAAAGAAAAATTTAAAGGATATTTAACATCTGCTGTCACAAGCAAGCGTACTAACCAGAAAAAATAATACAGTCCAAAGAGTTCACCTAATTCTGCAAGAAGCAAGAAAGGCCAAAACTGTGACTGATTTTAAAACTTAGACACCTTTGTTCCCCACATAAAAGAAATGACAGTATTTTGAAACTTACCATTTTTGTTCATATCCCAGAAGACACAGGTAGGCTTAGGATCTTCCTAAGAACACATGTGAAAGTAGACTTTGTTTAGCTCTTCAGAAATAAATCTCATCAACTTATACATTTACAACAGAAGTTTTACCACATATATTTACATATAATGAGGAATAAATATAATATGGATTATTCAAATTTTTTCTAGTGTCAAATTAGAATTTATTCTGCTAGAAAGACAGTTCTGCCCAGATTATGAAATGTAAAGCACTGTTCCTCTGCACTGTTCCTTTTCCACATCCTCAGAATAATGAAGTTTTATTGTCTCACTGACGTTATCCATGAGTATGATGTCTTTACAGAGTCTGAATACTTTTTCATGTTCACTTCCTTAGGACTTCTCACTGAATCCTCTATATAACTGACCTTGAAAATGTGCAGAAGCCTGATGAATTTAAGTGGGGGTTGGTTTGCCCAACCTTAAAATAATAATTATAATGAAATGTAAGGTAAAGTTAATCAAACTTTAATGGAGTTAAAATTATGTACCAACTTAGGTATTGCATTTTAACATCTTAACTTCTCTATTGCTATTGTCTCTTGGAGTAGCTACTGACAACATGTCTGAGAAGACAGTCAAGCTCACACGTTTTTAACTGAAACAGTATGTGCCAAGAGGTTGCATTTGGTCTGTATTTCCCTAAATTAATTGTACTCATCTTTTAACAAAGTGGTTCTGTCCATTATTCCTTTGCTGAAAACCACATAACAACAAAATAACTTTGGGAACTATTAACAAAGCAATTCATCTTTGATCAAAGAATTTAAGTAATTCTACAGTTCCAGTCTAATAAATTGTGTCCCTGGTCAAGAACATGGTCGTGAACAGAGGTTTTGCCTACAGTTATTGGCACAGAAATTGCCTCTGAGTAGCAGAATCAACAGTTTTTCAGATAAATGTTAAATCATGAATGGAGTAGGAATGTGTGGGGATGGGAGAGGTTATTTGGTTTTACTTTTTGCTTATTTGCTTTTGTTCTAGAGGTTTTATTTCCTTTTGAGTTTATGATCTTACTCAAAATCCATTCAAATCTATCAGGCTATATGCTTAGAATTTACTATATATAATCTGCATTCCTGTTCCTCTGCATATGAGACTCTTGTTTTACCTGAATTTTGGTATGTTTTATTGTAACTTTCACATATTCCTGAAGATCCTGAATGGTTATGTTTCCGATGCTGCATGCCACCACAAAACTGGTCAAATTGGCAGGATTTTCTGCATCCTTTGAAAGATTCAGAAAAATAAAACAAATGCTTACACAGCACATAACATAAAAGCCAGAGTACACAGTTTCATCTTTGCAGCATGCCAAAATAAATAAGTTATCAGCATTTCTACACTTTTGATCACGCAATATAAGAATGCTATGTTTACAAAATCAAATTATGGGTTTGCTTCATAGAAGTTCCCCTGTTTTCGTTATATTCATAAACATATATAGGCATAATTATAGAAATAGGTTAGAGTTCCCCTTGTAATCATAATGCCTGATGCCATCAAAATTATAACTCAAACAGTGTAGCAGATAACAACCCATGATATGATTAGCTCACTTGCCTAAACTAGAATGAACTAGCTTTCTTATTTTACTGTTGACACTTTCCTTTTTAGTAGGTGCAAAGTTTTTGGAGAATAACCTTTTTTCAGTTTCACAGTTGCAACATTATCCTCCATCTCACAATGAATGATGAAGAAGTATTAAACAAATTCAAAGCAATGCTACATACTGTAGGTGATAATATTTTCTACAAGGTCTTATTTGATGGGAATTTAAATAGAAGACTGATGTTTTCACTGAGCAATACCATTTCTAAGCTGCAATGAAAAAGTACCAGGTTGAGAGTTTTCCAAAAGAGGTTTTCCTTGGAAACTGATGATTTATTAAAAAGGAAGTGCTTTGGAATAACTATTTTGTTTTGATGAGTTTCCACTGAGACCTGCATAGTTACATGCCTGGTTGGCCTTATGGGACGCTGGGAAGCTCCATCACTGTCTGCGGCAGACCTTAGGTGAAATGAACTCTATCACCACTCACTTTCCCTCCAAAAATCTGGGCTACCAAAATCCTGAACCACTCTGATTCCTTCAGTCTAGGGATTTTGTTAGCCTGACATGATGTCAGGTGTCAACTCAGCGCTGGGTTCATGAAATCCCATCATTCATGACAGACAGAACAGTTTCAGTTATTAAGTGCACATTATTCTGAGAAGAATATTTAATTTCTTAAGAACAATATCCGAGTTTTCAAACACAATATTTCAGCGTGTACTGGAGCTTTGTGACATAATTTCCTAAAAACTTAAAAATTGCAGATGAATAAAAATGCAGTCTTCTAGATAGTTCTTGAGCATTCAAACAAGAGAAAACCTCTTGGCTACCCCTTAAATTTCAATATCTGACAAAGACTATGAAAGCCTTTGACATATTTCTATGGGTTTCAGTGGATTCTGTCTCTAGCAGGTAACAAGAAATAGAAATAAACATCAGATGGTCTCTTGAGGGAAGAAAATTTAATATATTCTTACTTGTCCTTAGAAGAGAATAGAAATAATGTGTGCATTAAAGTAAAATACAGGAAACTGCTTATTTAGCTATAAGGCTGTACACAGCTCAAATTAGGGGTAAGCTTTTAGCCAATAAAATATACGTAAGTACATAGTAAAGCAATGCTGAAGCTAGTCTCCATGACAGAAATCTAGTCTAGTCTAGCAATCATTACAGTTCATATATTTATCATATTTACACATTATTTTGAAGGCCTCAGAACTCATGAGGATGATCCTTCCAACCTAACTTTAGACATTTTAAAAGAAGATGTCTAGAACTGAAGTTGCCACTCTAAAGTTTTGTAACATAGTCAATGAAAGGCAACTGGCACATCCAGGCATAAACCATTTTACCTATTCTGTACATCTAGGTAGAATATGGTTTGCCTAAATATAAGTGTCCATTTTAGAGGTTTTTAAGGTATCCTGCCCAGTTTCCAGCTGCTAGTGCAGAAGATCTCACATCTCTTACAGGTTCATTGTCACACCTGTTGGACAGCAGTAGCTTTGTACCCTGGGGTGTTTCAAATTGCACTGCACACCCTGGTCTGTGGAACTGATGCCTTTGGCTGCACTACAGTGAGATATCTGACACCTCAATAGTGTTCATTTTTTTCCATTCACTGCCTTTGAAGGCAATTTATGGACAACAGTTCAGGCACAGGTATGTACACTGAACACACCTGCCTTTGGTGAAATGAATCCCACCCTGAATAGCTTACATCAGTTTTTCATACAGTCTTCTAAGTAATGTAACCATCAGATTTTAATGAATGACAACATAAAACTTATTAGCATTCTCTCAGTTGCAACAAAAAACCCTCCAGTGATGTAAAGAATTATGTTTCACTGTTACGTTGAATGCTTATGAGAAATACAGACAACAGTATTAGGATATTTTTAATTGCAATTGGAATAAATGTATTTATGAAGTACTTTCATACTAATGGATAAAGTTATTTTTATGAGATGGTTTGAAATGGCATGTGAATCGATTTATTTTTAGCCTCTTTTTTTTTACTTTATTTTTAGACTTAATAAAATGTGAGTTTTACACATTTTTAATTAATTGTCTTGATCATGTCACCCATGAATAGTTTGAAAAACACACACAAAAAAAGGAAGGAACTTCAGTGGCAAATTTTCTTGGTTTTTTGCTTTTCAATGGCCTATTAAAGTATCGCTAAGAAACACATTCTAGCCCCATTAAAGGACACATTCTGACTTTATATGATTTTATGCCATTATGACAAGCTTACATCTGTATTCTGGTTTCTTTATTAAATATATCCATCCTGTTATTCTCAAAAGCAGGCTTAAACTGAATACTATTTTAAATAGTTAAATATACTTTGGGGTGTACTTCAGAAGGCAACTGAGGGTCATGGGTATTTTGTTGCCTAGATTATCTGAAGAATCTGGATACACTGCCAATAAAAACGATAATATAGGGACAATACAATACTACAGAGTTCTGCGGATGCACAAGAGCCAAAGGTCACTTGAAATACTAATGGGAAAACAACCTCAAGTCTTCTGAGGCTCAGTCTTACAGTTCACTGTGAAACAATGTTTCCTTTTTAATTAAATATTTTTTTTTAAATAGGTATGGTTTTGGTTGGTTTTTCCCAAGCTGTGAACTCTTCCTAAGTTTTTTGTCATCTATCATGCAGAAGTATTTATAATTACCATTTGATGGGACACAAAGGATTAAAAATCAAATCTACCTGAGTCCCTTTAGTTTTCAAGCACAAGTATTTTTATCCTTATTCCATATTAAAATATGGTGTGCTTCTGACAACACATGTATGAAAATAAGAATAGAATGTACAGAAGAATGTTCTCTGGCTGATGACCATCAACCCACAGTTTTCCACTGAATATAAGCAGTCAGCTGGATGTGAGTGCCAACCAACTCCCTTAAGGAAAAGAGAAAGAAAGAGTACTTGGCAGTGTTACAGGCCAAATTCCCTTCTGATAGAAAAGAATATGGCTCCACTGCACATCAAGGACCTACATCAATACATTTTAACAGATGTTGTGCCCTTTAAGTGGCCTTGCTACTTTACACTAATTATAAACACCTAGGATCCAGTTTTCCATATATTACCCTGAGAAAAACTTTCTCTCACATGTGACAGGAATTTGCAGTCAAATCACTAATTCAACTTGGGTGCTTCAGCTATTTTGTCACTCTGAACATAACATGCCTCTACAGCTGCTATCACCTTCTCCTTCTTATAACTCATGAGATGCTGTAAAATGATTACACTACAGGAAAATTTTATCAGGTGCCTTTGAGCCACCCTGAATGAAACAACTTCAAACATATTAAAGTTTACCTGAAAAAGACCATTTTTATTGAAGAAAGTAAATTGAACCCTGGATATAAGTTCAAACTCATCTTGACTTAAATTCTTCAGTAAACTTGGTGGCAGAACAACAGAAGCGAAGGCATTTGTCTGGTCCTTGTCAAAATCTATCTGTTAAATAAAAACAACAAAGAGCAAGTTCAAAAACAACAAAGAGCAAGTTCAAACAAAACCCAAACCATGCATTGGCCACAACTGGGTTCACACCCTTACACACAGATATCTAAACATGGAACTAAAACCAATCAACACTAATATGACCTGTAATGATGTAAGAGTTGATGCAACAAATAAACAAAAACAAGGCTTAGGAGGTTTTCCCACCCTTCCAGCACGAGATCAGCCTTCTGATACAAAAAGTTATTAGATAAAATAAACAAACTCCTCCACTGCTATAATGATGATTTGGAAATAATGAGATGGCAATAATGGTGGTCATAATAATTTTCAGTAACCTTCAAGATACTTTTCCTCATATCAAACAATGTTGATAACTGAAAAAATATGCTGAATCCTTCTTTCTTGAGTTGTATTATTTGGCTTGATCTGCACATCTGAATTAATTCTCTTGAGAGGTTTTCTAGCTTCTCTGTTACAGAAAGATTTTAAAATAATGATTAGTGTCACCTCTCTATATTTATTCTGCTATGTAGCACAAAAAGGACACTTTCTGCCATCAATATAAACTTAATCTATAATGGCAATGTGTCAGACAGCTGAAAACCCTCTATGGCACAGGGATGTAACAAGTGAGCAGAAAAAAATGAGGATGTAACCTCGCATTTCATTTGCTACCAGGCAGCAATTCTATGACTGCACGCTTTTCCACCATGCGGTACTCAAGATGTCCCACCTTACCCATCAAAGGAAGGGGAGCAAGCCATCTCACAGTGGTTCTGTAGCAAAAGAATTTAAAAATTTCACTGAGATAAGGAAACTCACACTCCTGACTTCTCCAGAGGCAACTTGGTCATGTATTTATGCCTCCCATGATCAGTCTCATGATTCTAAAAGCACTATTAGGTAATAGTTAAAAGCCATAGGCTTCTGATAGATTCATCTAACTTCTAAATTTTCACTGATTTACTGTGAGTAACAGGCACCCTGGGAAATTAATAAGAAGTGGTTCATAGATATCTCCTGACAGGGCTAAATGAAGTTGAGTAAAAGGTTTTCAAAGGATAATTCTGCCACATTAAACAGAAAGTGTGTGATCAAGATATCCCATTAGGTATTGTCTGCAAATAGGGCGGAAGAGGCTTCTATAAAGAAGTATGGATATATTACAGGAACAATTTAATAATATGAATCACCAAAAGCTAACTTAGTCAAAGGTTTGGCAAGAAACATAAAGACACAGGGGACTGAAATAGAAACTTTCCAAATTGCCATGGACACATTTGCTTGATATCTACTTTACGAAAAAAATTGGAAATAAAATCTGGAAACGTTCTGACACACAGCTTGAAGAATTTAATGCTCCCTGATGAGCTTGGGCTAGATTACCACATCACTGGTGAAAAACCTGGGCTTTCACAAGGGAATCTCCCTCCAGTAGGGATAGCAAGTATCTTTCCTGATAGGCATGGAAAATATAAACGCTGACCACAGTTGCTGCAGACTTTTTGGGTAGGAAGGATGCTAAGAATTCTCAATCAGCTGTTGGAAATCTGAAAGTCTGCGAACAAACTCATGTTCCAATAGGAACATTATAAATAACTTGACAGAGTTTGGATTTTATGATTATTTAGACAGTGCTGTAATAAATGATTCCAGGGCAAGAAAATTCCTGGATGTCCTCAAGCCACAGATGGTAATTCTTATAATACATACGAACATCCCAAACCTGACTTCAGAAGTTTTCCTTTCCTCTTTCCATAAATAAAAGATTAAATCTGGAGGAGAAACGTTCCTTTGATAACAATGAAAGAACAATCAGCTATTGAGCTTCATTAATAAAAGAGCTAAACAGAAGTAGATTTACAATCATCAAAAATTTCTAATAAAATTGATTCAAAGAAATACTAGCCAAGATTACTATGAAAATAAATATGCAAAATCTCAAGTATATTAAATCCATTTGTATCTATTTAAACCAGCATTTGAGTTTTGATCCAAAGTCTTTATACACAGCATGTAAAGGGCCTGCAGCCTATTATATTACTACTAATTTTTCTAGCACTGTCTTCATTACTGCTTTTGATTTTTACAGTACATAGTACTTTATAAAATGATCAGACATTTATCAGGATTGTTGACTTGCAAATCTGAAGCGGGAACTAATTTGGTCCCATAAGATGCTTGTACTCTAGTGACTAGTCTTTAACCATTTTCATAATGTCATGTTTTGTTTTAATTCAGTTTTAGTTCCTGGAGCCCAAACGATAGTAGATTTAAAAAAAAAAAAAATTCTCTTTACTCTTTTCTGTGTGTTTCTCTAAGTTAGACTCACTATATTTGAATGGTTAGACTTCCAGGAAACTGAAATTAAGTTACTTCTGTCATAGTCTTCTTATATAACTGTGGAAAAATTACATTGTACTACATTTTTAAAAGCACGTAGGTGCCATAAGATGCAGGCATGCATATAGTGAAATTTTAAGTCTTGGCACCTCATTGCTACTGATTTTAACAGAACCTTTAGGAAATAACAGTATGTGCTCATGTGCATCTCAAATGCTATTTCATAGCTTTTAGATGTCTCACCTTTTCTATTTGTGAAAAAAGAAGCCCAAATATTTTTGAGGTGATGACAAATATCTCATCTATAGAAGCCTGTCTAGATACTGTAGCATTGGAGACCATTCTGCATTTTGAGTGGTCTGTGTTTCTTTTATCTTTCATGTCTAGACTGGTGAATGTCTTGAACAGCCTCAGACATCCCAAATGGCACAAGCCTATCAACCTGTGTGTGGACAACTGCATTGGCTTTAGGTCTCTGTTAGCAGTAGGTGTCTAAACTATACTGGAAGGTTGAACTATTGTTACCTGCAGAAATCTACATGTAGACACCTATATTTATATGTCTTATCCCAAAGCTGAAAGGCATCAATGGAGTTGTTAGTTAGTGTATAAGGGGTAATAAATCAAACGCTTAAAGATTATTTTCCCTTTTCATTAGTTCAAAAACCTGAAAAGGAGAAATTCTGTTCTGGATTTTAAGCCATTTACTTTTTAACTGCATGGAATGTGAGTTTATCTGGGTTTCCTGTCGCTCAAGGAAATACTACATTAATCTGTTTGGATGATTGCAGGAAAAAGGAAATAGAAAGTAGGAGGAGAATTGGGAGTTGCAAGTGGTTTTATAGGAACCACTGTAAACACACTTGGAACAACAGGCAGACTTCACGTTCAAATACAACTGCTCGTTCCATACCTGGAAATCAGATGCATTATTCTGTGGACTGACACTGAAAGAACCACCTTTGAATGAAGTTGAGTTTACAGAAGACACTCCAAGTGCAAGGTTTCGTGTTGAAATACTCATAGACGGTCCAGTGAACTGGATCTTTAAAGCCAAGGCATCAATAGTTCTTAGAGCTCTAAAAAAAGAAATAAAATTGTTCTAAAAACTGAATACAGAAGAAAAAAATACTATGCTCCGTATACTCTCCACATTAAAGATGATCCTCTTATTGACTGTATTTCTGTCATCTATTTGTGTATTCACAAGGGGACTGTCAGGCTGTAAATTTATGTATCTCTGTTGGAAACCAAAGGTTTTGATTGACAGAAACTATCTGACTACATATCACCGGTCCTGAAATAATCTTCCAACAATACTTAAATCTATGCTGTGTCACATATCAGGAGGCTTGTTTTCCATCCAAATACTTTGCCATGGACATTAATTTTAGTACAAGAAGAAATATTTGTATATCTCATTTGGAAAATGCTTTTTGATGGAAATTAGAAAAGGTTATATTTTTGTACTAAAATTGTTTGCCTATATATGGAAGGATGAATCCTTCCAACCTTACAGGTTGTTCTGAAAAGCAGAAATACTTACTCAGAAGATGATGCTGCCAATACACTGTCCGAACTGGTTAGAATATTGGAAAAAATTGTCACCACAGTAGAACCCAGAGATTCATCAATCTCTTCATCATTCACAATTTTTTTGAGCTTTTGTACAACATCATTTACTTTGTCTGAGGTTAGCTGCTGCCCTTCACCAGTGAGATTCAGAAGCTGATTGGCTATATCAGCTGCATTTTCTGTAAGTGTACACATAAAATGAAGTAAAAAGAGAAAATAAAGCATATTAGTCCTGAAGTAATTAAAAAATACTAATTTTTATCCTCATTGTTGAAAGCTAGAGCATGTTCTGGGGTACTTGTAATGAACATTGGATTTTATAATTTTATCAAATTTAGAATGTCATAAAGAAGTATATAGAACCTGTTGATTATTATATAGTGTATCATTAGCTGTGTCTTTCTTTTCCGTAATTTGATCTGAGTTTCTAAATCAGAACTATTATTGAAAGGGCCAACTGAAAGAAAAAAAGGAGAAGGAATAAAGAGCCTATTTTCTTTTCTTTTTTTTCCTTCTGCTATCCTTTCTTCTTCACTGTGAAAAACAGTTTTACGATCAAAGTGAAACAAATGCATCCAAAGTTACTATTACTGACAAAATATACACTCTTTTAAGCTTTGGGGAGAAAGTCTGACCCCATTGTAAATGTTTAATTTCCTTCAGAGGATTGTACTCTTACTGAGAGGGTTGGCAAGCACAACACACAAGCAAATATCATGAGAAGAATCATTCTGGTAAGAAAATTGTGATAGTGTGTCCAATATCAAAACATTAGTGTAAATCACATGTTAAATTGAAAATTTGATTTCACCTGGACAGAAAACTGATGCAAACACTAACATTTTGCAATACCAAAGTATTTCATATTTATTGGAATTCACAAGTAAGATTTTGAAAGGAGAACAGCCTTCCTTAGTCTGCAACTGGCTGTGGTTTTTTAATGTTGTATTTTATAATATAGCTATTGCTACATTTACTGTAGAATGTTCTTTTTACATGGAAAGATGTTTTCATATAGCCTGACTGCAAGTACTCAACCATGTTAGATATCCATGTTCCCTAGGACCCCTCTATCAGTGGAGAAAGAAAAAGAGGCTTCTCCAAGAAAGCCATTCAGAACAGGAACTTACTGTAGGTGCTCTGAATTACTTGTGAGAATACCATTCTCTTCACTAGCTCAGGCACTAAAAACAGGGGCCATAAAATTGTTTTATTGCTTCTTTAAGGCCAGAATTACATCAAGGGGTATTTTGCAAACTGAGAATAAATCTGACTGATCATAAGCCCAGTGAAGAGAGTGGGAGTCTTTACACTGGCACCTACAGGCATTGGAAACATTTAAAAATTTGCCTGAACCTGAATCCCAAACTGAGGCAAGCTACCACCTGCCTCTATTACTGTTTAAATTAGCTGAAGAGTTTGATTTATTTCATTAATTGGTATCCAGAGCTTTTAATGGATGGGCTGAGTTCAACTTGGTTCACTTCCCCAGGGTTTAAATATTTACTTTGCACTGATTTTTTTTTTTTTTTAATTTAAAAACTTAGAATAAAGGAGAAAGACATTCTTCCTTAATGCAACTTCCTTATAGTAAGCAGTAACCAAAGTCTACAAAACTATTCCTTCAGCCAAAGACCAATGTCAATATACCCACCTGTGCAATTTCTAAGATCAGGCTGGCCCCAGTATGATGTATAATTCTGCAGACCCAAATAGCTAAAGAGGAAGAATGACAAAATTCATATGAAATTATATTTTGTATTTCTTTTGTAGGTTGTCACAGTGGTCCAGTCTTCTCACTTCATAATTTTCCTAGCAACATGGCTCCTAGTGAAATTAAATATGCTTGACAGTGGAAGTATGTAACCAATTAAGTGACTGTGCTAAGAGAAACCCTAGTTCTACTAGACAAATTCCCAGCTGATTTCTATACTAATTTGATAAATTGCATCAGTAGAAATTCTGGCCTTGTACTTCAAGAACCAAATGTTGACACAAACAATTATGCCCCTATTATGGCCTAATTAGATGCTGTTTCTATAATTTCTCTTTGATATAAATGCTTTGATGAAGTCAATAACAAGCCGTAATCCCTCTCAGAGGAACACGCACAGGAGCTATGTGGAAATACAAACTTATGCCACCCAAAGTGAGGGGTAGCTATAAAGATTTTGGTTTTTTCACTCAAAATGCTTTTTAAAAAAGCCTTACCATAGCGAAATGCCCAGGTATGGCTCCAAAATGAAACACACTTTTTCCTCAGTTTTTTTTAAAGACAATCATGTTATCATAGCATGACAAAGGACAGAGAATGGAAAGAAGTTATCCTTTCACTCAGCACAGGATAGAATAAAATTATTCCTCAGTGGATCAACTTTATTGTAACAGCACACTAGCAGGTAACCTTGTACTGTGGGGTGCACAGGACTAGAAGATGACCATTAGAAGAGCTTCCTCTTCTCTCAAAACACATCCCACTTGTGATCCCTATTGTCAAAAGCTAGTGGAGGCAGAGTCAAGGAAAGCATAGCACAGCGCAGAACAAAGTTTTGGTTATTTTTTGGAAAGTGCTGTGCATGGAAAATCAATGGTATTGTGTAGCCCACAAATGAACAATAAAGATAACACTGGGGCAGCAAAGGCCAGAGGCCTTAATTTTTAATAATTCCGAGGCTCTGACATAAAAACAATTTGATTTCTGCACTACTCACTCTACAACAAAAGTTGGTGAATCAGAATACAGAAGTTCTTGCACAAGATTAAGAGGCTGAGGAAGTGAGTTAGTGAAGTATAATGCTGGTTGCTTTCCTGTTTGGCACAGAACCTCAAAGCTGATTCATACCCATGTTGCCATATTGTTTTCAAAAAGTGAAAGATCTGGTCTTCTCAAAACATGTTTCAGATGAAATATGGGCGGATAAGACCGCTATATTGCATTTAATGGTGATCATCCTCAATACTCAAGAAATTAATTAATATTGCATCATCATAGTCATGTTCCAGGCACTCAAAAGAGATCAAAGTCATGTTGTTTTGGTAATATATCAAAGGAAGTAATAATATTCCCATTTTACAAATGGGAAATAGAGATACAGTGTCTAAACCTTTTGTGGATGTTCACAAAGAAAGCCTACATTAGGGAAAATTTATCTTAAATGTTAAAAGACAAGTTCAAATCTTTAAGTACAAGATAATCCCCACTTTCAGTTATGACTATCTACTGGCAAAATGCTAGTTTCAGAAGATTTTTTTTACCTTCCCATAATGAGATGAGAGGTTCTGGTTTAAACCAAATATACATCTCATCTTCATAGAATTTTGCTGAGAATTTCTTATACAAGTCAGATAGTAGTGTTGGAATGGCAGCAAATGTGAAACTTTGGTCTCAGTAACATAAATATCATGACTTGAAGAAAGCAGTTTCATTCTGTAAAGAGGTCCTGTTTTTATAGTCACTCTGAACATGTATTTATTAACTGTGGACCTCAATATGCTCTACAGAAATGGTAGATGAGCTTTTTTCTCTTACCAATGAAGTACATACTCTTATTGCAACACACATAATGTCTAACAGTATAGAAATCATGTTCCGGAAATAGAACACCAGCCAATGGCAATCATTATGGAGGATGCAGTTTATCTGTATAACCACAAAGTTGCATTTGAAGCTCTCGGCTTCTCAGATATTTGAACACCTACCAGGTTCTTGATGCAGTCTGAACTGAGCTCCCATGGCATAATGTGAAGTTGGTCACAGTCGGTCTGGTATCTGGCCAAAAATAGTTTGGAGGGTTTTCTTCAGCTAAACATTTTTCTGTAAAAATAAAAATATATCAGTGTCAATGGTAAATTTCTTTTTCTAATCATCTTCCATTTCTAGCCCTCAGATCATCAGCCAGTCGACATCACAAAGCTGTTTTCAAATGAAATGCTTGGATGTGATCTATAGAGTAGTGGCGATGGAGGGGTGCACAACAGGGGACAACATATACTGCTGCTGCTCAAGGAAAAGGATCGAACCTGCATGCGGCATCCACTTACACTCCACCAGCCCCTATCTCCTCCCTCCCAAGGGAAGGGCAGTCTCTGACTGGAAGAAGTTGAATGGGAGAAGGTGAGAGCTAAAGGGAGATAGATTAAGGGCAGCAGCTGGCAGGTGCACAAACAGCAGGGTTGAGGACTGGGCATGAGGGGCCTTGGAGGTCCAAAATGTTTCGTTATAGCCCTAGATGTAAATCATACTTCTTCATCCTCAAACTACCAGAGGAACTGTCAGGAACTGTGCCAAGTTCTTTGAACCCGACAGCAAAACACTGACTAAAGCAATCTGTAAAACTCTGTGTGTGTGTGCTAAAAGAGATATCCTGAGCACAGCTCTCGAAGATTAGTATAACAAGGAGGCTTAAAGGGACAATTTAAAATCTGAAACAGTCATACCATTTGGAAATGTGTGATTATTTTATCAATAAAGATACTAACTTATGGACAAGCAAACACAATCTGTTTTGTACCAAAGCCAAAATTACTTACCCACTGGATCAACATCCACAGTATGAAGCTGATATCCTTCTTCCATGGTCCCATTATTATGTATGAGCTTCTGTCGGATGTCTTCCTCTTCTAAATTGATGTTGTTGGTGGAATTATAAACCAGAAGAGCCAAAACCCCAAAACTGCAAGGAAAATTATTCAAGTATTTGAGTCAGAACAGCAGAGGGCAAATGCATGGAAATAAAAATACCTGACCAACTCTGGTTTTCTGAGTATGGAACACTGTCACCAAGAGAATGTTGCTCATTATCTGTAATTTATTATTTCTGTATATATAGGGCCATGACAAGAAAGTGCAGTTGGGAAATTTCATCCTCTAGTTACCATTAAAGAAGCATCTTCTCAACAGAGCTAAGAAATGTTTTCAGAAGATTTAGATTATTTTAAAAGATATGAAAATAAGAAAGCATTAAGTTGTGAGTTCTAAATGGGGGGTCTTCTAAAGGGACTTAAGAGCTGATTCATCCCACCTTACAAAACTTGTCAGGATGGGAGAAGTCATTCTCCAGAGGGTCTACCTCTCCACCGACTACAGAGGAAGATGAGAAGATTAACAAAGAACAGATGCCTAACATTTAAACATCTAAATTTTGATGGCAGGAAAAACAACCCAACACATTTCTGAAACTTTTAGTCCTAATTAGAAAATCTAGTTGCTCAGATGAGTAATTCAAATTTTAACAGTAATAGCTGTTTTGTACTGTAGCCCGCTGCTACTTTCTTGGGCATAAGAAGTAGTTCAAAGTGCCCAAGTCTTTTTCCTGTGAGAGAAATAAAACAGTCCCCACCCTTGTCCAAAAACACAGCTTTTCTGGATGGGAAATAATGAACAGAAAAGCAGTTCTAGCAGGACACAGGAAAGAAGCCCAGAGCGGAAGGCTCAAAGATTTCCTCCTGGGACACAGAAAACACATGTTGGAGAAGAGCATATGTTGGTACCCAAGAGCATTGCTTGGCTCTGGCTAGTAGGAGGTGATGCCACTGAAGCATGGAACATTGGATCTCCATGGGAGCCAAAATGTGGAAAAAGGGAAAAAGCAAGCCTGCTTTGGGCTGTCTTCATCCCAGCCTTGCCCTTGGATACCCAGCAGCCTGAATACAGACAGACTTTCGTGATGTGTGAGCAGCTCCTGGCAGGCTGGGAAGTGGCAGCACTGCCAGCACACATAGAGTGAGCAGGGCACTCACTGAACAGAGCTCATTTCACGGGCGGCCCCCCAGTGCAAGAAAGCAGCAGCGATGTAAAGGGTCTTGGGGTCTACCTGAAGAAGAGTAGGAGAAACAAGTTGTAGGGGTGCTGTATGGGAGAGGCCTAGTAGGGTTTTCAGGTACCCCTTCCTAGACAGACCAGGGCTTCATTTCCAAAGATCTTCCAGAAAGACATCCCTGTGATGACAGCTCAGAACTGCACTTTCCAGAGGTGCCTAGCCTGGTACAGTATAAAACCACGGCTTAGTGTTGCTCTTAGATGGCACATTTAACCCTCTTACTGTCAGACATCATTCTGAATAACTGAGTAACTCCAACCAACAATTCTGAAGCAGTCTCATTAGTGCGATAGCAATAAAAGAGCTGTCATTAGAAAACAAGCTCTCAGTCTAGCAAAAAAAAAAAAAAAAAAGCCCAAACTTCATAAAGAAATCATGAATGTGAACTAAATACTCCACCCATTTCACTGTTGCAGATGTAATGAAATAAGTAAATAAATATACATGGACCCTGGTCTGTGATGGGGTTTTATGGATTTATTGTCTTTTTTTTTGCTGAACACTAGTACGCTTTTCGTTTTTCTTGCCATATCCACTGTTTTACTGTTAACATCTTGCTGGAGAAGAAGATAAAAATGTGACTACCTGCTGGATTGGCTTTTTTTTCCCCAGTGGATTTATTTTAGCAGAGAAATTCCAGCTATCCCTAGCCAAGTTGCTCCTGTCCTGTTCCCAGAGATAACAAGTTCCTCCTAATATTCCTTTGTTCTCTGGAAGTCTTTAATATATGGCAATTGCCTCAGTACAGTGGATGTGCATTAAAAGGCTTTTGCTGTATACCTCGGATATATTGCAAGGCACAAGTTTATTATGGCATGTATTTTTAGCATGGAAATTGCCTATGGGATTGCCAATTCCTTCAGCCCTCCAGTACTTCAGCCCCAGAGTCTCCTGGCACTTACCCATCTTTCCTGAAAGATTCTGGCTTCACTCATCTATTCCCTTTACTTCAGAAGAGGAAAACTTAATATAGTGATGCCACTCCCTACCTCAGCACTTTGGCTGCAAAACAGAAGTTATAAGTGAACAGTCACTGATACTACTCTGCTGCCTATTGCAGGACTCCCAGCTAGCCAAAATGGTATTTAGTACCTATAACTGTGCGGAGGGATAATGGTAACAGGACAGAAGAGATAATGATACATGAGGTAGAACTGGTTACAGTTTTCTTGAGCAATTACAGAGAAGAGTACTGATTATGAAGCACTAATAAAAATAATCTATTAAACCACTCTGTTTTCCGAGAAACTCTTAGAGCACAAGTCATGTATACAGCATAATAAGAGCCTGTTCCATATTATGGTGAAAACAGTATGTCTAAACTTTTCAGAACGACTTATGCTAGCTTCCCAAAGTAAATAAATACATTTTAACTTGACAGATGATGCAATATAAAGCTGAAAGCTTCCTTCCACTTTTGTCACACTCAGATCCCAGAAAGAAAACATTTTAATGGTGTAGAACAAAATTCTCAATTTGAGGAACGGTAGGGCTACACTCAAATAAATGGCAACACTGCCATCCATGCTCTGCTGGTGTCACTGGATTTGCTACACCCAACCTTACATCTTTTATTGTGTGCCATACAAAAGCAGATAGATTCTCGCCAACAATAATCAATTACAAATTACACATCACCTACAGTAACCTGTACTGCTAGTACTACTGCTGTCAATATAAAAAAATAGACTGCAGTGTAGGTAAACACAATGGGGATAATTATTTATGCCTCTCTACTCTCTGACTGGAAAGGTGACAGCTGGAGCAAGCAGGAAAGCAAGGGAAGACCAGCGTCTATCCCACTTTGTCCTGGTCCATTGAGCTAAACTGGCTCAGAGAGAGGAGTTTATGAAGCTGCATCCTCATCAGAAGCACAGGAGGCAGAGGGGGTGCCTGCGCTGCCACAGAGCGTACCACAAAGCCGGCTTTCTTCTCCGGCAGCGTGACTCAGAGCTATTCCAGGACAGTGTGCCTACACAAGGGCTGTGGTCTCACTGCTACGCAATGCAAGGAGCCTGAAGGAAGGATTAACAAACCATGTGAACCGTGCAGTACAGACTGTCTCATACCTGAAGATATGTGGTTGATAATTAGCAATACATATTTCTCCTCTTGTTTCAGTTGTACTACACAGGCTGAACTAATACTGAATGATTGTGGTTCTCAAGCTGTTTAACAAATCACTATTAGTTTCCTTTGTTGTTAATTTTACTTGATTTAAAGTATATAAAGAATAACTTTTAAATTATTACCTAAGAACTCAAGGAATCTAGATTTCCACTAAAAGTCACGGGGAATGTCATTACAGCTACCCTGGCCTATGTAAAAAAAGTTTTAAGATGTCAGCATTTACCTATCTTGCTGTTATGCTGGCTTTGACAATAAACAATGATGGGTAGCTATAACTCAAGATGGGCAGCACAGGTAAGGCTACATAGAAACCTGTAAACACTACTAACATCTGCACATTAACTGCACAAAAAAAGACCTGACTATTGTGTAAGTCTCTCAGTGAAGATGTAATACAAACAGCACACAAAATGTTAGAAAACACACAGAATGAGACAGAAAAAAATGAAAGTAGAGGGAAATTAAAAGAATTCCACAAAAGCTTCTGAGTTGTGGATAATATTTTACTTGAGGTGTTTTGACTGTGATACCATTAAAATGTTCAGCACAGAGATGACAAAAATAGGACTGGGCATAATAGACACATTCAAAGTAATGCCAAGGATTAAGAGGTTCCTTTCTCAGCAGAAGGTGATGATATAGAAAAAATATAAAATTTGAGACTTCAGGACACAAACTAAAAATTGCAGCTACTTTATGAACTATTAAAAATAAAAAACATCCTAAGCCTTCCTTTTAAAGGCCATTGTACCAGAACGGTGCTGCAAGTGCTGCACAGCCATGCCTCTGTGCCTATCCTTGTGTCCCCAGGCCTTGCAGATCTGGTGTGGGAATACAAACAACTAGGGCTTTGCAACAGAAAGCACTTACAATATGTGATAATTTGGTATGAAGATTATTTGTTATTAGAAAATGTAGAAAAAGGGAAAACAGAAAGGGCTGGAATCCCTCACATTTCAACAGCTGGTCTTCACTGAAATGAGTTTTTGGTTACGCTTGAACTATATTCCAGAACAATAAAGAAAACTCTTATTCCCCAATATATTACTTTCCTAAAAATGGCACCTGACGATGTCAGGCCTAGACTAAATCAAGTTAAAGTCAGTGGAAAGACAAAGGAAGTCACTGGAAGCTAGATCAAGAGCAGGCAGCTTAAGCAGGACTAAGAAGAGATCATCCTTCAGTTCTGGGGAGGAATTCCCAAATTCCACCATCTGTGATGAAGACTTTCCTTACAGGTCATGGACACAAGATGCCAGCAGGGCACTGTGGAGAAACCTGCAGATTTCTGCTTGGATCTATGTTGGTCAGTTTTTCAAGCAGAAATATTACACATAATGTACACATTATGTGGCATTTTAAAACGCAGCTCAGCACCGGTGAAAGGACTGTCTCTTACTGTCTTCTGTAATACTGAAGTTGAAGTTGGGGCAGTAGAGGTGGGCCAGGTCCAAGTTATTCCTAAAATCTCACCAATAGAAATTTGGAAAATTTTTAAAATAGGTATCACAGCTGTATTCCTTTATAACAAGAACAGCATTATTATTTCATAATTAATAATTTGAAGCAATCTACAAAGAATGGAAAATCCCAACACTTCACTTGGTAAAGACACTTAGGACTATAAAAGCAAAATTATGCTTCTCTGATGTTGCTAACTCCTGTTAAAACTATTACACAATCTAATTAGCTTAAGTTTTATCCAAGTGCATTAAACTTTCCACTAAACAACACAGCACCCAGGAACACAGCATGCAGAAGCCTGAATCTGCCTCACTGGCACTGGTGGCAAAACTCCCACGGACTTCAAAAAAGCAGGACTAGGCATGGGCAGCTCTGATTTCCTGCTTTCCTCTCTGTTTTCATTCCTAAAAGAAGGCATTTCTGTTTAAGCTTAGTGGTCTTTAAACAGATTGCTACCACTGTGGTTTTTCATTTGGATGAGTTGTTTAACAGTACTAACATTAATGTTGTTTCACATAGTAGAAGCAACTGAACACAGGAAATAGTCCAAAATTATGACAATCAAGTAATGGAAGCATAATCTTATTCGTATGTTAAATGGAGGAAAGGTTATAAATTAATTGGAGCCTGAATTCTCAAAACTGCTTGCAAAAAAAAAAAAAGAAGAAAGGAGAAAAGGAGAAGCAGAGGACCTGAGCTGTTCAATAAAGACCAATTCCCCTACTGAGGCAGCCCTGTATTAGTCAGCTTACAAGATCAGTGGACCCTTCTGAGAAAAGAAGCAGCAGCAGTCACAGAAAGTTATGACAATGCTACAGTGTTGAAAACAGCAAAGAATAAATGTCCATAGTTCATTCTGAGCTCCTGTCTACTTTAATTTGAACAGCTGCCTTCTCATTTAGAGATGGAAACAGAATGATCATAGGAAAAAATTAATCACAAAGTCAAGTATAGCTGTGATAAAATTCTGTCCATTGAAATAGTTAATAATCTACCAAAGTCTTAGCCTGATATACTGCTGTCACCGAGAGATTTCACAGTATTAATGGTGCTGATAATATGCACTTTTGGACTTGGCACTCTCTCTCTCATCACCATGTACATAAATGCACAATAAGCACAGTGTACTTTGGATTTCTGCAGCTCATAGAATGCAGCAATGAAAGAATAACAATCCACTTCCATATTTTTGTTTTGTTTTGTTCTTGTCCAGAATGCAGTACAGTTTAAAGTATTTATTTGGAAAACACCTATTTTTAACATGCCAAATAAAGCAAGTCTCCTACCTCCCACTTCCAGCTTCTATTTCTTCTCTGAATCATTCTCTTTCTAATGATTCTTCCTCTTTCACTTGCAAGAAGACTAGGTGGGGAGACTGATAATAGAAGTTGCTTGATAAGGTAGCAGTGTGGTAAATAAGGGTTGAAGAAAAGCAAAATGCATGGGAAAGGTGGTGGGGAATTTTTTATTTGGTGGATTTTTTTTTTTTAAATGATTGTATAAAATACTAATGCAAAAGGTAAGGAAAAAAGATGCGATTTGAATTATAAGAACATGAAATCTTGCAAAGAGAGAGAAAACCTCTCAAAGAGGAATTTAAAGAATTACAATAGTGCCTTAGAAGTACAAAGGCTATGATCTTGTAGAAAATTCAGAATAGAGACATAAGGTCTGCTGAGCTAGAGTAACACTAATGTGTTCACTTCTGTAAAAGATAAAGTTAAGGCCATGATACTTACAGTTCAGGTCTTAAATTTTAACTGTGGATTGAAATTCTGCCCAAATGAACATGAAGATAAATGGAATATGTATTACTTAAACTCTAAGGGAAATTGTGGAATGTCTAAAAACTGAAGATTCATTCTTGACAATTCAAAACTGAGAAATAATAAAATCTTTGGGCAACTATTCACATTATAGGAATATGTAATTAATAGAAACTGTATGAAAATGCACTGTGACCAAGTTACATACAAGAAATCAGCCACAACATTTTCAGTGGATCACCTGAGTAGTGAGAAATTAGCATTACTTTCATAAGAGATTAAAAACTTCCAACTTGTAACCTGGTCAGTTTTTATGCCCCAGGATGTTACTTTGGTGTCTTGTAGGATGCAGGAGTAAGGATGGCGAAAGTTTTGCATTCCTCAGCAGTCTTGGATTGTTGGTAAGATCTGAGGCATGGTCTCCGCTTAAAAGGTTTTGCTGGCACAACCATATCATTTAAAAGTGTGAAAAAGAAAAAAAAATCCTGCCCACATCCCTACACCCTACTGTAAATGTAAGTCAATCAGTAAAATAGCCCATTCAGAGACTGGGTTTACACTATACCAGTTAGATGGTTTTGCCAATAAAAGCTGTCTTTCTGCTGTGGGTGTGTGGGAAGGAGATAGTACCTTTTACAAATCTTTTCACGTCTAGGTAAGATCTGTAGAAAACTGGAAGCATCAGTAACTACTTCCTGATAGGAACACTGGGCTATCTCTGAAATTAAAAAGCCCAGCTGTTACCACAGCAGTTCTTGAGTCAGCAATTAAAGTCCTTTCCTACAGGACTCTTACTACACTGCAAACAGGTACGTCCCATACATACTTGTTCCTCACAAAACTAATTACATTTTGGTTTCCTCTCCTTAATTTGGTCCAGAGATAGTCCCTTCCCTATATCCCTCAGAAATCAGTCTTCTGCTTTCAAAGAAATCCCCTGAGGCCCAATTTTCAGGGGGTGTGACACATCTTAACTTTCTTTGGCTGCCTTTGAGGCTGCCCCAACTCCAGTGTTTCTGAGCCCAGCAGAAGTCAGGAAATGAGAGCATATGGTAAATAGTTTAACTCACACTAAAAGTTTGGCTTTCAATTCTAGCATGATTTTTTTCAGTGTTTTGCATCTAGTAAGTTGTCTGTTAACCCAAAAAGCTCTGGTTGAAGAGAATAAATTCAGTGACAGTGGACAGATACCAGTGTACCCAAGCTTGTTGCTAAAGAAAGCTGGGTGTGCCATACTGCATATATATGATACGTCTATTCAGTTTTGTGACAGATGAAACCTGAGCTCTGAAAAAAAAAAATTATCTGTTAAGATTTCAAGCTCAGTAGGTTTAAACCAAAACAAACACGATAACCAGTATTTAGTTTCTGAGCACATCCAGCACACTCAATTTGTCAGCAGCCATATATTTACAAACCCACAGCATATGTCCAATAATAGACAATTAATCCAATAATAGACAATAAAGACTCTTGTAAAGCCACTTGTAATAGCAGATGTTGCCTCTATCAAGAAAAAGTCTCTAAAAATGTTACCTTTTAATACTCCTTTTTTCTCTTACTCCCTCTTTTACAGAGCCAGGGTGGATACTATGAAAGAAATAAACATTAATTAGGTTGGGCTAATCCTCAAAAAGAACATAGCATAAACATCTTCCCCCTTCATTTACCTGATATTGACCACATACACAGTGTAATTCCAATTCTGGAAAGTACGGTTTAGCTGAAAAACAGGAAGACATTGATCACATGAATGGTGAGATGTTAATGGGGTTCTTTGTTGCTTAAGACAGAATTTCATCCTTCTCGCCTTTGAGAAATCGCCTTCAGTTTTTCAAAGCAAAGAGGACACTCTCCCATTTCAGTGAGGTGAGTGATATATTAGATGTACAACTAGTAGTGAGAGATGTGGGCTTTTCTACTGGCAGGAGAAAATTTCTGTAAGGTCATGACAGTGAATAGGTGAGTGCACAGGATGCCAAACTTCTCACTTTCTCCCTCTCTTCCTCTTCTTAAATTCTCAGAAACGTTTTGATTAGAAAAGATTTGCTGACAAACCTACAGGTATAATTTTCACTTAAAAGTCTACAACTTTATGATTATTTTTTTTTCAGATCTTTGTACTATTTATTCTGAGTGGGCAATTGGTGCTCAGTTTTCCCCATGGGAGACACTTTTGCATACACTGCTAGGGCCAAGTGACACCTTTCTAGATCCTTTGCCTCAGGCACCTATGCACTTCACCTGGCTACTGTTGCTAAGAGAACAACCTTGCTAGGTGTGGATGGCTGCATTTCTGGTTTGTAGATGACTGCTGTGTATGAAAAAAAAAAAGTGCATGAACTCACAGAAATGAACACTGCCTGATTTTTTATTATTTCAATCACAATGTAACTTTAATATTAGTATATGGGGAGAAAAATTTTGCTCCGTATAGTGCTGTTGTGTGATAGCAATATAGAAACATCTATCTTTTTTAGTGGACAATTCTTGGTTCTCCATACTTTCCAAAATCTCAGCTAGTATCTACATTTCTTAAGAAGCTGGCTGGCACACTGGAGGCATTTGAAAATTTTATCCATAGTGTCTAATAGCCACAGCTGGACCTGAGTTCACTGCAAGTCAATAATAGTATGTGTTCTCTGAAGAACTTTCTCATTTAAGGATTTATTTAGTATTGTCTCTTCTTTTTTTTCCTTTTCAGATTGATAAAATTAATAAGCCAGATTCATATATGTAATCACACAGGAAAGAAAACTTAACTTACCCATTCTGCAACCACATCATGTACTTTCGACACTGAGTTGGTGTTGGAACTAAAGACAGTTATAGATATCCTGTAGAATAGCCCACCTGTCCATTAAAAACAGCATTATAATGTTAGAAACTGAGCAAATTTACTTTTTTTAACAATAAGACTTTAGTTTCATGATGAGTATAAATACTGGACTGAACCCCAGATACAAGGACACCTCAAACTCTTCTTGGCATTATACAAGTTTGGAGTGAACAAGCCTTGCAGGCTTGGGCCCATTCTCACTAGTTCTGTCAAATAAGACAAGAATCCCTTCTCCCTCCACATTTTTAGAGACACTTGAAATGGGATATAGAAACTAACGATGCACGTATAAATAGTATTTTGCATATGCCTTTAATGTGGTGTGTAAAAGCAAGATCATGAAAGTGTCATGAATTTTTAAAATAATCATAACTACTTAGGTCTGTGACATGGATAAATTCTGCTCTCAGTCATATTGATGTAATCCAGAATTCAACCCCTGCAGATTACACTTAAAATTTTGTGAGAGCAGATAATTGAAAGTAACAAGAAAACTGAGGACAGAATTAGGTGGGAGAAGGGATATCCAGCTCTTGTTTTCACAGTGCGGTCTTTGCTCTCTAGGCCTGGCGATGGCCAGATAGTAGAAGAACCCACATTAGCTCTACAAAACAGGCAGCTGAACAAACCATCTTTCAGTCACAAAATCCACAACATTTGGCTTGGAGCAATTTTATATTCAGTAAAATCGTTTTAAAATGGCACGGGGTAAATAGAAATTCTCTTTAAGCTCATGAGTTGGTATGTAGTTTTACAAGATTTCACATCCAACAAATAACATTCAATCACCTCATAGTTATGCTCTATGTTAAAAGCCTGTACTTTTCACAAGTCACATTTTTTTCATTAAGCTGCTAAAAATTATGTATACTCTAGCTGGATAAAATTTCCCAGGATGTGGGGGAGGTTGAAGAGCTTCTGGGTCCATTCACTTGCACGTATGGACACATGGGCATTGCTCGGCTCAGGGCTGTTATCAAATGAACTTGCGGGTCTTGATCCCCAATACATGTATTTATCTTATGAAAATCTTACACTACATAGGACAGAACAAGACATGACTACAATTATTAAGAAGTTTCTTCCTGTCTCTTGATTGTGAAGGAACTTCACTATCTTTCAGAGTCTAAATAAAAGACCTTTTATTCTAGTTATGTACATGTGGAGCAAATGTCCTAATTTTACAGGTTCGTAGATAATCATTTTACAAGAGCTTGAAATAAAAGTATCAGGGAAAAAAGGTGAAGTCAGTGTTTTGCAATGTAATTGGGCATATTGGTTACTATCCTATTCATGAGCTGGCTTAAGTATTGTATTTCTTTTCATTATGGAATTAATCATATGATCATTGAGATTAGTATGAAAATTCCAATGACTAAAGTACCAATTTCTTGCAGGAAGATGGTTTACCAGTTACCTTATTTGGTAAGCTATGATTAAATTTTATATACAAGTAGAATGAACTTCCTTGCTTTTTGATTTACTGTCCTTTTTTTTCCTACTTTAACTCAGCAGACACACAAATTAGGTGTGCAGTTTACTCTGAAAATGATTTTAGTTTGTTATTGTTATAACTGTGATAGTTTCAAACAAAAAAGGGGAAAAAAAAAAGTCACCGGAGGTAGAAAATTGGACTTTGGGCAAGCTGAAAATATTGGAAAGACTTGGATCTCATTTATATGTATATATATCTCGGCGTATACATACATTCAATTTTATACACATAATGTACCGTTTATATGTGTTATACTGAAACACATAAACATGAAGCATGCATTATATAAATTCTCATACATTCATCTCTAATCATATATATAATTATAACATTATTTATATGATTATGTATATGGAAAAATCACCTTAATATAGGAATATGCAAAGTATTTTTAAAATAAAACAAAGTAACTACAAACTAGTCAACAGCTTCAAGATCTCCACCAGGTGGTGACCCAAAGCATGTTTTAATGAGGCAAAAAAAGAACAAGAACAAAGAGCTAATCTACATTTTTAAACACTCTCAGGAGACTGCAGTGGAAGATAACTAAAACTAAAAATGATTTCTCACTCTCCAAATTAAACAGTGGAAATCCCACCTCAAAATAGGGAATAAAAAAAATATTTTTCTGGGCAGAAAATTTATTAAAAGTAGCCAAAGATAACTTGAAAAAAGAGGAAAAAGAACCTGGAAAAATAATTCTCCCCACACCCACCACCAGCTAGAAAAATATAATAATCAATGAAATACCAGGATTGTTCTTTTTTAATCCTGTTAGGCAAATTATCCAAAAGTTTCTTTGGGAAAAGCTTTGCTTTTTGTAAGTTAAATCTTCAAAACCATATGATTACTGTGAGGGAAAAACATTCATACAATCTCGAAAAATAAAATGCCATAAAAATGTATAAGATACCTAGCAACCCAATATATAGGTCTCACAGTCTCATGAGAGTTGTCTTAGAGAACTACACAAAAATTAGAAACCATGTTAATGACATTTACTATCACTAAGATTTTACAAATTCCCCTCTACCGTAATTAAATTATTATTCCAATATCTCTTCATAGGCTAAATGGATCTATATCTAAAAGTTGAAAGCCAGCTACTTCTATGTTCAGTCTACAAAATGAATATCTAATAGATAAGATAATTTGATTTTTTCTACATCTAACTTAACGGCTTGACATACTGTAGTTGACCTCAGGTCGACACAGGCAGCCCAGCTCAGTGAAGGAGTAACATAAACAAGATAAAAAGACTGCAGGAGAGTTACTAAGATGATTCAGTGGTGGGTGAGGGGTGGTATTTTGGTTTGTCCCAGACGGTAAATTGGCCAAAGAATGAACGTGTGCCGAAGCTGATGACTGATGGTACATTACAGAAGAAACTGGCATTTGGGACTGCATGAAAGAATGATGGATTGCTGCTGCAGGTGTTGTCAGAGTGCCCTTCAAGATGGTCTCTTTGTGCTGAATAATAACTCCTCTGTCTGAAGATGGCAAAGGTATTGCATTATTCATTCTTGCAGTTCTTAATGACTCCAAAACAGAAGAGAGGTTTGCAAAACGTCCGTAATCAGCATTTTCAACATCCAAGGCGTGAGTACTAACAATATTCAGAGAATACATTCCTTCTCTGTGTTTGCTAAAGGATCCATGCAGTTCCTCTTCTGAATCCCATTCAGAAAACCTCAATATGTTTGATGATGTCAGAACAGCAGAATTCCATATGTCTCTATTATTACCAATGACTTCTTGTTCTACTGACCATGGAGGGTATCTCAGACTGTCCCCTTGATTTTCAACAGAGTTTTGTCCTAAAACAGGTAGATGACTTCTTGGTGTTACTGTTGTTGGCAAGCTTAGCTCTGCTGCACCCCACTGAGGGATCAGGCTTGGAGAAATTGTGTCAAGATGGTTCTGAAAACTCTGTGGGAGTGGAGGTGTGGAGTAGCTATTAGGAGGTACACTGACTCTGAACTTTGAGTCTGAATGAAGGAGTCTTAATTCTAAAGACGTCATTGGAAGGAAGTCAGAACTCATTAAATTAATCAAATTGATGTTTTTTAAAAAAATACCTGCATCTATTTGAACTTTACTTCTTGATTTATCATTAGTATTTGCTACAGCATCATTTGCTGAAAGGCTTTCTGACTGCGGTAATCCCTGTGTTCTAGTAGTGTTTACCAAACTCTTAACTGGTGTATCAATCAAGAAAGCAGCTTGGCTATCCCTTGAACATGAAGGCTGAGTTCCTGAATGCGTTGGAAGGACAGAAACAAGCTGCTGTCTATTGTTTAGGAAGGTCACGTTGGTTTGATCACTTGCTATGTCAGTTCCCATTTGCATATTCAACCTATCAAATATCATTAATTTTTCTGTGGAGTTTTCAAGTACCTTATCAATGGGACTTACCTGTACCTGTACAGAGGGTTGACTCAAAGGTGATTCCAGAGAAGGGAAAAGAAAATCAAAATAAAATTCACTGTTGGGAGACACAGTTAAGTTTTCATAATTCGTTTTTGACAATTGTGATATTGTCTTGACATTACTTTCTGAAAATCTCTCTGAAAGTCGTGGAATTGATGAACTAAAGATTTGTGTTTCCAAAACTGATGCATGACTAGAGAAGTTAATTTCTTCAGCCCTGTGACCTAATAATCTACTAGGAGATGTTTGTTCAGAGATACTGTTAAACTTAGCAGGTGAACTAATGGATGGCAATCTCTCTGTTGGGGAAGAAAGCAGTTTCTTAAATGAGAGCCACCAATTTCCTGATGGCTCCCCAGAAAACATTTGGGATACTTCTTTGAAATGATAAGAAACAGTCCAGAAACTTGCTCTTAAAGAAGGGGAACTATCTACATATTTTGTTGGAAAAAGTAAGTAAACTGAGTCCCGGGAGTTTCCAACTCTATTCATATTCTCTGGCTCTAATATGGAAAAAGCTGACTCTTCATTTTTATTATTATCACGAAATGCATCTAAACTGTTCTCCAGTACTCCATTTCTGAGGGTCTCACTTGGCTTTTGAGAATATACTGAATGTTTTAAATAATGAGACCAGTAATTGCCATTAGATATAAATATGTTGTCACTTTCCAAATATATGTCACTCAACGACTGTTCATAAACAGACTGGGTTGTCACAACATGCTTAAATGCTGAGCTTGTCCAGCCTGTTCCTGCCAGAAGTGCTGAAAATGTTAGTAGTTCTCTGCTGTGTCCTAGGACTGAATTTGTCAGTTGCATGTCAGGCATAAGCTTTGTGTATGTTTTTTCCATGTTTTGAAAAAAACTTGTTGTCTCCACAGAGGTTAAGTTTGTAATGCCCCCTGAGTGATGTTCCTTAATGTGCACAGATCTTCTAAACTGAAATTCACTGTTTGCTGCTATCATAGAAAAAGTTTTCCTATCCACATTGCCTTCCACTGTTCTCAGGTAAAAATTTTCAGGTGTGAGGTCTAGCAAATCTAGTCTACTTTTTTGGAATGATGATTTCTCCCTTGTAGGTGATAGAGATAAGCTAGAAAGAGAATGATGTCTGTCTTCTTGAATGTCAGAGGTAATATGATGATGAAATACAGTCTCACTCCACCAACTTGCAGGGTCTAAGATGTTGCTTATATGCATGAAATCAGCTGTGCCAGTGTTGGAGGACGAAATCCACACAGTTTCTTTTTTGTGTTCGTAAGCAGTGCTGCTGCTGCTAACGGGAAAGGGGAACGCTGACTCAGAGTCAGAACGATCCAGACCATCTGCCAAAGTCCATGCTAGCTTCGCATTAGGAGTTCTGCTTTGAAGAAGAGGAACCGTTGCATTCACAGAAGGCTCTGTAACAGCATCTGCTGCATCAGAAGTGCCATGAAATGAACTTCTAGAATCATTCAAAATATTTTCATTTGTTAACTGATTCATCACAGTATTCTCTAGGTTGATTTTTTCTGTAAAAGCAGCCAAGGTATCGTTGCCTGTCTCCTCAGAAGCAGCTGATGTGGACATAGTTGGAAGAAACAAGCTGTACGTCTTTTTTCTCTCTGGGTTCTCATCTGCTGAGTTTTTACTGAAATGGAGAGGCCTTTTTTTCACTGGCCAAATAATTGGGGTTGAGATAATTCCTATGTTTTTGACCCCTTCTATCTTAGACTCTTGCTGCCTCTGTGGTCGTGAATGGGAGGATTCAGGTGAATTTCTCTTCATTCTGAAGATACCCGTAGCAGGAAGTCTGAATTCCTGCAGGTCTGTGTGTAGTAAGCCACATAGTTAATGAATTAAAGAAAATAATGCAACTTAACTGTCTGCTCTTGGCTTTCTGCTCTTGGTCTAAAAATGAACTTACCGACAGTGGAAAATGACACCAGTTAGCTGGGTGAAAGTTTAATTTGCTTCTACTGTAAATGAATTTGGCTTGGTTTTCTACTTTCTCCTGTGAGTTTCAAAGCCAAAGAAAGGACTTAATTGTCCAGTTTTCATTTATGCTAACATTAATAAGGCAGTTGCTTCTGTAGTTACAAAATCAGAGTTAGCTGCTCATGGTGAACATAGAATGAGTCGCTCTACAGAAAGAAAAAAACACAATTTGGAAGAAATTTGCAATATTTTCTTCTTCCACAGCTTTATAAGTCCAAATAGGCTGAATTCAGATAAATTCTTTCACACTGTCTACTGTACTGCCTGACTGCCAATGTACAAGAAAGGATCTGCCAAGAGAAAAAATACTCCAAGAATTTTAAATCAGTAAGAACTGATGCACTTGGAAAAAAACCAGAACAAAACAAAAACCACAGAAAAACCCAGATTCTAACTTACGTATGTGGAGCACACTGAAAAAATGAATCTTTGCAAAAAATATCTTTCAGCCTCAGAGGAAAATTGCATAAATATATCTGTGTGTTGTTAATGACGTTTAACAACTAACTTAAAAAAAACTAATAAATATTTTATCAACACCTCACAAAATAATGCTCAGTCTGTAGGAGACAGTGATATCATAGAATTTCAGAAAACCTCAAAAGAAATCCCTGCTATTTTCCTGTGCTAATAATAGGCTCATTTACTAACTTATTTTTTCCCTTAATTTTTCTAAATGAAAAGTAAATGATATCTGATACTGTCAACATTTTCCCTAGTAAAGTCTGATCCAGCTGTTCTTGAAGTCAGTGGAAAGATTCCTGTTGACTCAGTGGAAGTGGCTTTGCTCCATAGGAACGATTCCACTTGGCTCCTGTGCCCATCCAGTGAAGAACAGACAACCCCAGCATACTACCACCCTGGCTGCACAAGCGGGAGCTACACAATGCCTCATGATCTGCAGCCTTAAATCATATCAATAGCACGGTTCTTTTAAGACCCTTTTAAAAAATCCCTCTCTCTTCTCTCGCTCTTTGCATGGGCAAATACCACAGCTGACACAAAGTTAGTCCCTCTTCTACAAGAGCCAGGCAAACATGGTACAAATAAACACCAAATTTGGTTCTGTTCTCATTTACAACATTTTGATTTTGTCCAGTGAAGTTACTCCTGATGTATTTCAGTGTAAAAGAGACCAGAACTGAGACATGACCCTTGACATTATGATAGTATGAAAAACACACCGTAAAATACAATAAATTTGCTCTAGACACAGTACAAGGAAAAATGTAACACAGGATTTCTTACCATTGTTTGGCTTATCGTTTCTATTAGTATCGGGCATGTTAGTGGTGACAGTGGGTGGTGTAGGAGTAGTAGCATTTACAGTAGCTGGTAATAAAGATGAGAAAGAGGTGAACTTGAATGAAATATGCATGTTAATGAGGTAAGACAAAATGGGAGCAACGCATGACAATGTAAAATGAAACCCTCTACATACAATGCCATAAATGTTAAATAAACACGTTATTCTTTTTGCACAAAGTGATGAATGGACATGAACTGAGGTCCCAATCCTGCAATCTTCACTTTCACTGACTTCAGTGGGAGTTTTGCCAGTGTAAGGGTTGCAAGATCAGTCCTGTACTGCTTTCAAAACTCAAAATCCTCTTATGAGAGCTTCAGATCCAAACAGCTGTGCAAAGACCAGAAAATAGATCTTATAAGTTCTAAGATGCATGCACTTAGAATATTGCTTGTGAATAGAATAATTGTCCCTACTCAGGCATTGATGATGAACAATTGTGAAACTAGAATGCCCATGTAAGGATCCAATTAACTCCAGTGAACTCCATACAATGAAGAGAATTGAAATCAGACTTGGAATAATTTGAGTGGGATATATATTTTGAAAGCTTCATGTAGGATCTCAGCTGTATTGTTCCCACTGACACTAAAAGGAGTCACCCCACAGAATCCTGGCAAATGTTTCCTGGGAGAACCAGCTAGAACACTTTTCAAATTCAGAGTGAGAGGCCAAAACTTCACATTTCCCCCTCCGCTCCCCCCTCCCCCCAAGGACTGGGAAAGTATACATGTGCTAGAGGAATTCAAAGATCATGCCACTGAATTTTCAAAGAACAGTTTGGAAAATAATTTAATTTTATCTTCTAACTCCCAGGGAATGCAAATCCACTCATTGACAGATCTCTTTTTTTCCTCAAAACTATTTCAAAAAATAGGAAGGTTTGTGCAGTATAATCCCACAGTGTTACACATCTTGTGCAGATTTTGACCAAGAAACAACCTGGAAAAGTTAAGCAATTATATTTTAGTCAAGAAATTACACCTTGATTTTTTGTGAAGTTTTTCTAGCTAACCTTTTGAGTCTGAAAGTCATAAATTGAGGTCTCATCTTAGGGCGCAGTTTCATGTTCAGGTTTCAGTGAAACAAGAAACTTCGGGAAAGAGAAAGAAGAGTTGGAGACTGCATCAAACAGGTTCTAACTGGGAAAGTGAATATATAAAGTGATACCCTATAGTACAAGGCTCTTCCATGTGACATCAGGGTTGTACTGTCTGAAAGACAAGTTTTAAGGCTTCTTACTGATTGCATCTTCCAGCCAACACTGTTAAAGAAGGCATTTTTCAGTGAATGAAAATCTTTGCTAAGCATAATGGAGAAAATGGCTCTTTCATCAGACTGTAGTTGACATAATCTGGCATCCACAAACTTTGTTGCTGGTACTATTGCACAACACACATCAAGCAAATAAAAAGAGAATCCAAACTGGCCTCTCAGTTTAAAATAAGTCTGCAGTGCTGTCAGAAATATACAGACTTTTTTTTTTTTTCATTATTATGACAATAATGGTAATGAGGAGGAACAGTGTAAATCTGATCTGCCACTTCCAAAGTGACAAACACAGAACACCATTAACACTTTACCAAACACTTTTCAGAGAAGGAAAGAATATTACCTTTGTGAAAGTAGTGTTTATTGAAGATTTGATGGTCTAAGAAATTAAGAGAGGCAAGACTGAAAGGTAGCATCTTTTATTAGAGGCAATATCTTCTACTAGACAAGTTAATAAAGCTGGAAAAAAAGGATGAGGCTTTTAGGAACACAGCCTTGTTTCGCTGAAAGTGTGTCCATTTCTGCAGCCATACTAGCTGATCAAATGAAAGGTAGTCTCTCTTCTTTTACACCATGTCTCTATTTGGATAAAGGAAAACTCCCAGAGTTCTTCCAAGACAATACACAAGGATCTTTATATGGTGGCTGTATTACCCTTTTCCCTTTACAAATGAAAAGACTAATATTGAATAATTGTTGCTGTCCCATTTACCTAAGGTATTTGAGTAGTAATATATAGAACATATTGTGCTTTGTGAATATGAGACCTGAAAATTGCTGTTTGAAATCTAATTACTGACATAACTGGCATTTCAGTTTTCCTGTGGAGACCAGTACAATATGGTCCAGGACTCAGAACCAAATTTACCTCAGGAAAATCTTGAAAAAGTACACTGAAGACTGACATAGATCTTTTACTGCCTTCCCAAGATGACTGCATATTTTTTTTAATTTTATTTTTAAGCTAAATCTGATTTACTTGTAAATGTCAGGTTTTGTCAGGAAAAAAAAAGTTCTGAGAGTTCCCCCTCCCCTTTTATATTTTATTCTCTCTTGTCTCTATCCTCCACCATTCAGCCTGAAAAAGGTTACAGAGCTAGACAGTACTTTTGGTGCAGCTGCTGCTGTGCTTAAAGTTCAGCATAGGATGCCACCTCATCAGCAGGTCTGTGTTCAGGAAGGTATTACGGAAATGAGCTGATGTTCATGTCGAGCATTTTTATAGAACTTCAGCCTCTAAGCAGAGCAGAAGGAATTAACTGCCCTTGCAAGTCCAATGATTCACATGGCATGGAAATCTTTAGGGTTCACCTATTCCTTGCGTTCAATTGAGCTGACCTTTCAAGAGACCTTATGAATTCTTGTATGTGGTTATTTTTACAGTATTAAAATATTCCTAAGTTCTGTAACAAGTATTTCATTAACAAACAGCTTCTGGATTTTTCAGTTTGATGTTAAATTTTTACCTGCTAATATCAAAGTATATAGCCTCAAAATAGCTTACTGGAGGGGGGGTGTGGGTGGGAAAAGTCAGTTCCTTTATTTACATCTGCTCATTTTTTATTTACAAATATACCCACTTCTTATCCTGGTTAATACTTTACTGTCAAAATGTGCAGGAGGAAGAAATGGAGAAAAAAATGAATGCAGTCAATTAATTCAGTTTTGATACGATGGAGGCTACTTGGAAAATGTATTATCAAGGGAGTGATCACATTTTTTCCACGTATTGTACGTACTGGACACCCACACACTGGATGACACTAAGGAATTCTTTTATTTGCTATTTTATATTACAGTTCACCCTTTTAGAAACAATAAGAAAAAAGAAATGGAATGAAAAGTCATGGACAATAGAGATGAAACAAAGATGAAACTCTGAAAATGACCTGGGCTTCTTACCTTGGCAAAGGCTTCCCAGATTTGCACAACTAGTTGGTTCAATTGCAGAAGAGGGAATTAGGTATGAGCCTTTAGAAAAAGAAATTAAAATAATTAGAAAAGTTTGGCTACTTGGCATATAAACCTACCATGTCTCGAAATATATTAGATCTTGCAGTGACACACTCATCAATTTCTCTCAGTGGCAAAACTGATATTGCCATTTGCCCATAGACTAATGTGTTTTCATCTTCTGTTGTGGCTGAGGGATCCATGAAAAACTTGCTGACTTGAAAGTTACAGTCATGTAACCTCGCCTGATTTTCTGAGCTTTCATTGTATACCATCCCATTAGGTGAATGCCTCTTGCATGTACTCTTGTGAAACGGCTTTAAGCAGAGGGGCCAGTATGGCCACAGGATTTATGTAATCTTTGTGAGCAATAGCGCACACCTTGGAGAAGCAACCACGCTCCACTGCTGCAGCACAGGTTACCCACCACACATTTCTGAGTAATCTGCTGGTGACAGACACCAACCAGATAAAAGGTGATTAAACTTGTTCCTCTGCCCTGGGTGTGGGCGTGATTAATATTCTGGTATGCATGATTTATAAGCAGATAATGTTATAAGTCTGTATCTCTGCTGAATTATTCATAACAACATGCACACACTTTGATGATCTGGAGACAAAACCAGGGTATATAAGAATGGCTACACAAAGAGAACTGGTAAAACTGCATTAATTACACTTGGTGTATCCCACAGGTTCAGCTGCGGCTACAGCTGCTTTTGCACTCTGTGTGGAAAATAATGGGGCCATAGAGTAGGGCATAATCTGAACCTACTGGGAGAGTTGCCCTTTTGGCTTTTGCTTTACCACTTCAGAATCTTATTGACTCAATGAGGTTCTCTCATGAAACATTGTATCTTTCCATAAAATTAAGGAGCCACCACCCATCAGCTCGTAAAGATAGCCAGGAAAATATTTCCTGTGTTGCAAGAACAGATGAAGCATGGGGCCTCAACACGAATCACGTCACGCCACAGATACCACTACATGTATTGCAGACAAAAACAGGGCAGAATTTAAAACATGATCGTCAACAAATATTAAAGCTCAGCTTTTTGGTTTTCTCAATGGATTAAGAGACACAGGAAAATCCACTTCCTATGAACTGGAAGAAGGATGTTGTAAGTGAAGGACGGTCCTCACCCTGGGACGGTCCTTACCCTGGTCCTCATGGGGGACTTCAACCACCCCGATATCTGTTGGAGGGACAACACAGCAGGGCACAAGAAAGCCAGGAGGTTCCTGGAATGTGTCGATGACAACTTCCTTATCCAAGTGATAGAGGAGCCGACCAGGAGAGGTGCCATGCTGGACCTTGTTCTCACCAACAGGGAGGGGCTGGTGGGGGATGTGAGCCTCAAGGGCAGCTTTGGCTGCAGCGACCACGAAATGGTCGAGTTTGGAATCCTTACGGAGGCGAGGAGGGTGCGCAGTAAGCTCGCTGCCCTGGACTTCAGGAGAGCGGACTTCAGCCTCTACAGGGAACTGATTGGAAAGGTTCCTTGGGAAGAAGTCCTGGAGGGAAGAGGGGCCAAAGAAAGGTGGCAGGTGTTCAAGGACTTTCTCCTCCAAGCGCAGGAGCGATGCATCCCAATGAAGAGGAAGTTGGGTAAAAGCGGCCGCAGGCCTACGTAGGCCTACGTGGATGAATAGGCCGCAGGCCTACGTGGATGAATA